TCAGCCTCAGACGCTAGTGGGAGGCAGGTGGCCTGGGGCCCTGGAGATGGGGTGTCTCACCAAGAAGAGTCGGGTGAGCCAAGAGGTCACCTTCCTGCTGTGGGACGTTGCGGGACATAAGACACGAGCGCACACGTCCCAGGTCGGTGACCTGAGACAGAGAACAGAACAGAAGTGTGACGTCGGATGGACCGACTCGCGGCCCCTCCCCACCCCTCGCGGGCACACTGGGCCCCGGCCACCCCCTCCCCAGGTCCTTGCCGTGCCCTCTGGGCTCGGCCAGCTTCTACAGGATAATCGCAGTCACCGAGAGATGGGGGACGGGAGTGAGCGCAGACTTGCCAAGATGATTCTTGAAATTTCCCAGGCGCCGGAGTTCCCCAGTCCGGGGCGCGGACCGCCACCGAGAGCTCAGCTCCGACGCTGTGGAGGCCAAGGGTCTGGGTGTGGAAGGAAATCAGTGTCTGGACAACAAAAAACAAGACAAAACAAAAGAAAAAAACTTCATGGAAAGGATAAAGTCAAGGTTAATTTTTACTTATTTGGAAATGCAAAGAAGGCTATGGCAAGCCCGTTTCCGTAGTGTAGTGGTTATCACGTTCGCCTAACACGCGAAAGGTCCCCGGTTCGAAACCGGGCGGAAACAACTCGCTCACCTTTTCTGAGTTTTACAGTAAAGACGCTCTACATGGCAAGTTTTAAAATAGAGCTCACCACGCATAACTAACTATCTCTGAATTGATGCACAAAGTTCAAAATAGAAATCATGTTTTATTACCCAGTTATGAACTCCATACATTGCAGGGCCTTTCTCCAACTCTGCCGTGACCCACCCTCAGCCTGTCCTTAACTCCATCTCTGCTGTTCCTTCCGTCATTGAACTGAAAGGCAAAGGGGTCTAAGAGATAAAACTGGTATTTTTAATATACATGACTTGGATATGGAAGGAAGGAAGGAAGGAAGGAAGGAAGGAAGGGGAAGAAGAAAGGAAGAAAAGGAAAAAAGGGAAAGAAAATATGTATGTGTCTGATTGTGATGGTTTTAACCATAAAAAGTACCGCTGCCGACAGAGCTGAAGAGGAGCAGGTGAGGAGACAGCAGGTAGATGAAGCATAAGCGACTCGCGGAGACTCGTGGCGCTCAGAGTCCGGGGCCGCCCCTGCCCGTGTGCCCGCATCCTCTTTACTAAAATGTCTATGGAAGGCTTTATGCCACTTTTTCCTCAAGTCGGGTTTTCTCTTTTTTTTCGTTTTTCCTTCCTTTGAAGAGCGGGACAAAGAACGTTGGTGTCACTGCTGAAGATTAAGAAAATGAAGCCAACATTTAATCCCAGTCTTACATCGGGGAGGCTATTTCCCACGTGTGAGGTGCTGCAGCCAAATTACGTTGAGGGAGAGAAAAACAACCCTCCTGGCCCGTACGGGGATCGAACCCGCGACCTTGGCGTTATTAGCACCACGCTCTAACCAACTGAGCTAACCGGCCAGCTGCGCGGAGAGTCGCTTTTGCTTAAGAAAATAAAAAGTTTGCTGACATTCTTGCGTGCTTAGAACTGAAGGATGTCTCTTTCCTCTTTCCAAAGCAGACTTTCTTTAGCTCGTTTTAACGACGACTGAAGGGCAAGAGGGGAAACGGAAGCTCAGCGAGGAGGCACTGAGGGCCAGGGCCCGGGAGACCAGGGGACGAGAGGGGAGAGAGCCAGGAACAGAGGGAAGGAAGGCGCTGGAATCCAGGTGCGGCTTCGCCAGCTCTGGACGCAGACTCTGGCGTCCCTGCCCCGCGTGGGTGGATCCTACGGACGCTTGACCAGGAGAGGCGTCTGCAAAGAAACCCGAGCTCCTGGGCTATAAACCTCCAGGCCAGCCCGGGGGACAGGATGGAGAGGCCTGGCGCCTCCCGCCGAGGACTGGGCAGCATGGCGCTGGGCCCTGCGCTCTGGCTGGGCCCTCTGCTCCTGGCTTCCCTCGGGGGGTCCTCGGCTCCAGGTAGGAGGAGCCCGGGGTTCAGGCAGGGGCTCCGAAGGGGGCTCGGCTGAACGCTGTCCCCTCTGGGCCCCGCAGCCTCGCTCCTCAGGCGCCTCGGCGAGCACCTGCGGCGTTTTCAGGAGAGCTCTGTCCTGGGCCTGAGCCCGGACCCGGGGGTGGCGGCCCGCCCCAGAGAGGGGTGGCTGGAGCAGCCCCTGGACCCCTTCAATGCGTCTGACAGGAGGACCTTCCTTCAGGTGAGGTCGGGGCGGGGAGCCCACTGTCTACCGGCCCTCTCCTTCCCCCTCTCCTCCGTCCCTCAGCCTCTGCGTCCTCGCTCTCTCCCTCAGCCCCCCCCCATGTCCTTCAGAATGAACCCTAAAACCACCACCAGTCTGGATGTGTGCAGACTTGGACTGACTTTGGAACCAGCCCTGGCTCACACCCTGACGATATCTCCTGACTGAACACCCTCCCCCTTTTCCACACCTGCTCTGTACAGTCTCCCAGGTCCTCTCACCTCGGGGCTCTGCCCCGATCCACCCGCATGTGTTACTTATTCTACAATGATCAACACAGCAGGTGCCTCCCATGTGCTCGCCACTACACTTGACCCTGGGATATGAGAGAGAAAAAGTTGACCAAAATATCTGCTCTTGTAGGTCTTACACTCTAGGTGAGAGGACAACGGGAGGGAAATGAACCCATAAACAAGCCTGGTTCAGACACTACGAAGTGTAGGAAGAACGACCCCCTAGGGCAGCAGTTCTCAACCTGTGGGTCGCGACCCCTTTGGGGGTCGAACGACCCTTTCACAGGGGTCGCCTAAGACCATCGGAAAACACATATATAATTACATATTGTTTTGTGATTAATCACTATGCTTTAATTATGTTCAATTTGTAACAATGAAAATACATCCTGCATATCAGATATTTACATGACGATTCATAACAGTAGCAAAATTACAGTGATGAAGTAGCAACGCAAATAATTTTACGGTTGGGGGTCACCACAACATGAGGAACTGTATTAAAGGGTCGCGGCTTTAGGAAGGTTGAGAACCACTGAAAGACCGGGAGGAACAGGGAATAGAGAAGAGAGGTCAGACGCTCACAATCCCGTTTCTTCCTCATCCCACCCTCAGCGGTACTGGATAAGCGACCAGCACTGGGCCAGCCGGGATGGACCCGTATTCCTGAATCTGGGGGGCGAGGGCAGCCTCGGGCCGGGCTCAGTGATGAGAGGTGAGAAGCAAGGGCGGGAGAGACGTAGCTGGGAGCCGGGGGAGGGCTGCGAGGGCTTCACCCACCTCACACGCCCCTTCCACCCTCTTCACAGGGCACCCTGCAGCCCTGGCCCCAGCCTTGGGGGCCCTGGTGATAGGCCTGGAACACAGGTTTTATGGCCTGAGCATACCTGCTGGGGGCCTGAACATGGCCCAGCTCCGCTTCTTGTCCAGCCGCCATGCGTACGTTGGGATGGGGAAAGGGTTTGGGGTCACGGGACTAGAGATGCTCCCCTGCCGGAAGTTGACCTTGAGTCTTTGGTTCATGGCTGTTGCTGTTTTTCTGCCTTTCAGTGTCTTATTCCCTTTCCATCCCTGGGTCTCTGTCCCGCTCCATCTCTTTCTTTCTCATACCTTGTCTTCTCTCATCCCGTCTCACTGTGATGACTGGTCCACACGACCTGGCCTCCTCTCTGAAGGTCAGAGTCTCCTCACTGGCCTTCAGTCCATGCTCCCGATGAAGCCAGAGTGATTGGTAGGGCGCAATCCCAACCACCACTCTCGCTGCCTCAGAGCCCTCACCTCTGTCATCTCATCACAGTAAAGTCCCGTCTTCACAGTGGCCCTGAGGTTTGACTGGCTCTGGCCCTGTCCCTCTCTGACCTCCACTTCCTCACACTCATAGGGCTTCACTGCACAGGCATCCTTGCTGCTCCCCACACATCCAGGCTCAGCTGTCTTGAGCCTCTGAGCCCTCCCCCTGGGCTCCCCCCGCCCCAGATGTTGCATATGCCCCCTCCCCTCCTTTGGGGCACCCTACTCCGCCTGCAACCCCTGCTGTGACCCCTCACCTGCTCTGTTCTCCACACACGTGTCTGGAATCCTCTCCTTTCTCTGTCTTACCCTTGTCTCTGTCTGTCTGTGTCCCTCTGCGTTACTCCCTATCTTCCAATCTTTTCACAAACTTACCCGGTTTCTCGCTGCAGTGGGGTGGCCCTGACTGCAAACTGGTTCAGGAAGGTTCGGGCGGGAAGAAAGCACTTAGAACAGACAAGAGGAGGTCAGACCGCCCCAGCATCGCTTCTGTCCCCCCTGCCCCGTGCCCTCACTCTCCCGCTACTTGGAAGCAGGAGGGCGGAGGCTCCCCAGGGGGCCTCCCCGGGGGGCCACTTCCGGACGTGGATGTGCGGGTGACGCCTTCGGAAACACTTCCTGAGGAAGGAGCCCTGGCTCCTGGCCAGACACCCTGCCCCGTCCAGATAGAGGGGTGCCCCAGGGATTGCAGAGGTGACCGACGCCTCCCTTCGCCCCAGGCTGGCCGACGTGGTCTCCGCGCGCCTCGCGCTCTCCCGCCTCCACAACGTCTCCTCTTCCAGCCGCTGGGTCTGCTTCGGAGGCTCCTATGCCGGCTCCCTGGCCGCCTGGGCGCGGCTGAAGGTCCCGGGACCCCTCTGGGCGGACACGGGGGGTGGGGTGGACTCGGGGTCCCCATCTCAGGGGAAAGGAACACCCTCTCCCACACCCTCTCCCCCCAGAAGGGCTCTCCACAGCCGTCTCCACAGGGCCCGGTGCACAGGGAGAGGGGCTCGCCTAGGGCCACGCGAGGCGAGCGTGCACAGGGCGGAAGATCGGGGGTCCCAGCCCTCGCCCGCCTGACAACCCCCTCCCCCCCAGTTCCCGCATCTCCTCTTCGCCGCGGTCGCCTCCTCGGCCCCGGTGCGGGCCGTGCTGGATTTCTCCGCCTACAACGAGGTGAGGACGCGGGCGGGGCCGGGGGGAGCAGGGTCTCAGCGTCGGGGTCCCTGATGCGCCTCTTCTCCTCTGGCGGTCGGACCACAGGTGGTGTCCAGGAGCCTCACGAACACGGCGATCGGCGGGTCCCCGGAAGTAGGAGTGGGCCCGTCCCTGGGGGCTGGAGAGGGGAGGCGGCCTTCAAATTGGGGCCAGGGGGGAAAGTGCAGCCAGCTCGGCGCCGGGGTCTGGGGAGGTGGGACCCCCAGAGATGCTCGGACCCTAGGAGGCTGGCGCGGAGGAGGGGCCAGGACGTCCGAGGGAAGAGCTTCAACGGGGGCGGGGCTGGTGTGGGCGGGGCCCTAGAAGAGTGGACCTATCAGGAGGTGAAGCTCAGTGTGGGGCGGGGCCTGAAGAGAGTGGACCTATCAGGAGGTGAGGCTCAGTGTGGGGCGGGGCCTGAAGAGAGTGGACCCTATCAGGAGGTGAGGCTCAGTGTGGGGCGGGGCCTGAAGAGAGTGGACCCTATCGGGAGGTGAGGCTCAGTGTGGGGCGTTCGGGAGCTCTGGAGGATGCTGGTCCTGGAAGAGACAGGCCGAGCCCAGACCCTGCTCTCCGTCGACAAAACCTTTCTTCCCCGCAGTGCCGGGCGGCGGTGTCCACGGCCTTCGCGGAGGTGGAG